CATTACCTGGTGTTTAAATGTTGGCTCGTTCTGTTCAGTCTTTAAGTCCTTGTCTATGTTGGGTGTTCCTGCCTGCTCCTTGACTTTGGATCATGCTCTGCCTCTTTTTGGATTTATCTTTTGGTTTGGATGTACCTTCGCTCTGATTCTTTACCTTGTGCTCTGAGGAAGCCTGTGCAGTTAAGTTTTCGTTATTTTATTGAACTGAATCCTCCCTGCCTGTGTCTGCACTTGGATCCACACCTCTGCTACCTGCCATTGCATTCAGCCCATCTTCTGACAGATAGCATTACATGTTCCAAGTTTTTTTGCATCTGTTTTAAATGTCCATTCATTATCGCCACCAGAATTAAAGGTTGCAAAATCTTTATATAACCCCTTTATACGTCCGTTAATAAAATTAACACTATTTAATATTAACAGACCTATACATACTGATATATTGTAAAATCTCAATTGTCCTGTCTTTCGCTAATAGCCTTCATTACACTGAAATATATTGCACTGTGGTTATGGACTACAAAAGGATGCCAAACTTAACACCTTACAACGCTGTAATATCCTACTTTATAATTATGAGTAGGTCTAGTCACTGAACCAGTGAGCAACAAATTAGGAACGACCTGATAATATTTCATAAGTAAAAAGACCAGGCCTAACTTATGATTAAGGAGCCTTGTTAGTTGTTAACAGTTTTTCTGGTCCAGAGTTAATTAGGAACAACTCATGAAGAAAATGATTAGTAGCCTGTGTGAATTTACAGACATACGTTTACGGACATACATTACGGATTAGTTCCCCACGCGTTCCTCACAATTTTGTGTACCATATGTTACCAAAGACATAAATTAAATTAAATCTCCATCACAAGCACTGTTGTAACACTGACATTTGAGATTGTCCATGTGCCTCCATCATATCAGGTTATTTTCATTTTGTTAAGTTGCTTTTTGTTGCACAATTTGTATGTGACCATTATTTGGTTGCCTAAATTTTCCTACAAATTAAAGTACTGAGTTTTTTTGCAATTTTGTGAGCGTTTGTAATAAAGATTGAGTTCTCTCAGAGTTGGGTTTCTATTTAATGAGATGTTTGAATAATTTGATCTTGCCTATTCAAGATCTCTTTGTGCACATCAAACCCAGTAAACATTTGTCAGCAAGGCTGTCCAAACTGTCCATTAAGTGCAACCTCTCAAATTACAAAGCCTTGTCTTTTGTCTTGCTGGATGTACATTTCAGCATATGTTTACTATATAGCTGCAGACAAATTCAAATGCATGATATTTTAATTAATGTAAAATAATACTAATAAATAAAATATACCTATATGTGAAAACAAGGAGTGGTTACTTTTATCTCAAAAACTGTCTTGGAGACTTTTGGCAATTCCTTACACGGAGGTGTGGTTTGGATTCAATACTTGGGTGTGGTGCAATTTGGTTTGAAAAAAAGACTGTTAACCAGCATCTTCATAAGAGAATATAGTCTTTCAATTCAGATAACCTGAAGAAAAGGCAGACATGAGTCTCACTGGAAAAGACAAGACTGTGGTGAGGTCTTTCTGGAAGAAAGTTTCCTCAAAGTCCGGTGACATTGGAGCTGAGGCTCTGGGCAGGTAAGCTTTCATTTATTTTCTCTTTTTTTTGTCATTGTCTAACATTTACATGCTATTTATTTTTTAGGCATTAATTCCTCTTTATTTCATCCATGTATGACAGGATGTTGCGAGTATACCCTCAGACCAAGACCTATTTTACCCACTGGGATGATCTGAACCCTAATTCCCCACAAGTGAGGAAGCATGGTGCTGTTATCATGGCAGCCGTTGGAGACGCCATCGGAAAGATTGATGACCTCGTTGGTGCTCTGTCCACCCTCAGCAAGCTGCATGCCTTCAAGCTCAGAGTGGACCCTGCCAACTTCAGGGTAAGATTGCATCAGGTCACCATTGATCGAGAGGTCATAAAAGATTTAGCCAAATTGTTTTAGACCACAATGCTTCTATGTGTTTTCTATATTAAAGTTAAAATGTGCATTAATGTCATAACAATATTGGCTCTGTATGATGTAATGTTTTTTCCCCTTGTTGCTAACTTGGATTTATGTGTTTCTTGCACACCCACAGATCTTAGCCCACAACATAATCTTGGTTATGGCCATGTACTTCCCCAGAGAGTTCACTCCAGAGGTCCATGTCTCTGTTGACAAGTTCCTGCAGAACCTGGCTCTGGCTCTGTCCGAGAAATACCGCTAAACTGCAGCCAACCAGGAGCATCAACTGGATCCATGGGGCATGTCGACCTCAACAATGTCAATGTTCCTTTTAAAATGTAGGGGCTTGGTGAATAAAACAAATACATATGAAATGTCCAGATGTCCGTCTCTTCTTCTTTGTCTTTTCTTCTTACTAAGATCATCCCCCACGCCACCTATTCATTTGCCATGTCTTGGTACACACAGGCTAGCCTACACTAAAAAAAATAATCAACTAATTATGATTAGATAATTCATGGTAACTGAGTTTCACTGGAGTAATTAATCTTATGTAATATGGTAGACTATTATTATATTTTTCTTTAGGGAAATATACTAATCTTCACAACATGCGTTAATAAATATAAAATAAATTTTAAAAAAAATAAATTGCAGCCTACAACTGTCATCAGGACTATACTGTTGGAATGACGTGCAGACTACATAATGGGCACTATTGTTACTATATGACAACATGAAACACAGCAGGTTAGTGCTGAATTCAGAGGATGCTCTGGTTGATATTACAGCCTAATAATTTGACGTCAGCAGCTGTTTGCACTCGTTTTGTCACAATTAAAGGAGCTACATTGGTGATGCGGATCAGCTCTGAAAAGATCTCAATACTCATGTACACATAAATCATACACCCGCCCCCCACCCAACTATTTCCACAGATTTACCCCACCTCTACCTGCCGAAAAGTGATCGTCTGCCGAAAACTGATTGCCGTCTGCTGGAGCTGTATTGCCCAGTCTCTTCAATCACTTTCTGGCAAGTGAAATAGCCTACTGAATTTTTTGGGTTGTATTGGCCATTTAAAGGTATTATAACAGGTAAAAAAAGAGTGGATTGGTTGGTAGGCCTACACAGCAAGTAAAATAATGCAGAGTCATAAGAATAATTGCCAAATTGTCTTCATTTTATATCTAAGTTGGCAGTAAGTCATGTTAATTAGGCTACAGCCCGTTTTCCGAATATAAACAAAGATATTACACATAGACCTACCAAACATCAGTTTTCGGCAGACGATCACTTTTCGGCACGACACCGGCCCTTTTAGCTTTGCTGGTCATTTCTTCATTGTGTTGTTTTGATTAATGTTTTCTTTAACGGTTTTCTTTAATGATTGCTATGATTTATACGTCAAAGCTAATATCGTGGGATATTTATGCAGCAAAATAAAAACAATGTAGCCTAGTTAAAAAGTTAACAGGAAATACCGAGGAAACTCTGCAGAGGAAACAGAATTCAACTTTTAGCCTGGAAATGTATCGATGCTCTGATGGAGCTCAGGATTGACAGGACGGCTGCTTTCCTCCACTGTCACTGTATGAACCTGGACTGTGTGTCAGACCTTTTGGATGTGGAGAAAAACACAGCATATTATTTAACATTAGATTCCGAAGATCCTGTCGCCGTGTCGGGAGGTTTAAATATGAAGTTACGCTGCTGTGACTCGTGCATAAATGTGCACAGCGTCTCTCTTCATGAGGATACGCTTTACCCTATTTCACCCACCTGGAAGTTAGCCAAACGTATTAATCGCCCAAAACTCTGCTCGCAAACAGCAGTGCTCTCAGTTATTGCGCGCACAACGTTTTCATGTGCTTCATGTGTTTCCCCATATCTGGACGTCTGGACACAGGTGGGGAAAAAAGTTTTTCAACTTGAAATGAGTGTTGTGACAGTGTAATCAGCTGCATCTACATGGTCCTAAAGCCTTCATTTAAGTTGATCGTGTTATCAATGTTTTTTGTTTTTCTCTATTAATTGGCTAACGCCTTCATAATTACGAAGGTCCGGACCTCGGTGCACTAATAGCTGGTTACGCCATGGTAATAAGGCAGCATCATACCCATCATGAGCAGATTGTTGCGTCAAGTCATGCGGCGGTCAGAGCCTCATGACGTGCCGGAGCGCCCTCTACTGGATTTCCGCCTATTACTTCCTTGTGGTTTCTTAATTAACCACAACGCTGGTTTGTGCGTAAAGAAAAACATAATTTATGTACATTAGACAAGTGGATATGAGCAGGCATTCCATTGATGTATTTTATCTACAGAAGGCGTCTTAATGTACGGGTTATTAAAGTGTGCTGTTGCTGTTGCATATTTGTATGGGTAAAATGGTAAATATTTTGATTGTATTGTTGTCGTTTTATGTCTATTGTCAGACTTGCTCTCCTGCTGTCTCTCTTGGCCATGGGCGCCCCTGAAAAAGAGATATTATCTGAACGGGTCCTCCCCTGGTTAAATAAAGGTTAAAGTAAATTTTATTTTAAATATACTGATGGAAAGTATTGTCAGATAGAAAACTGTTAACAATCCATTTAGATTAGAGAAATAAGTTAGATTGAAAGTGAAAGAGTAGGGCGTAGGCTACAAAAATATTAAAAATGTTAAATGGGCTTAATGTTAAATAAAAAATTGGTAATTCCCCAAGCATTTCAAGCATTTTTTAAATATTACCCCATCCTTAAACATTTTTTCTTTTCAATACTGGCCTAGGTCTTGTTGGACATGGAATTCACAAGCTATATATAATTTACTTCTAATCATGGCAGACAAGTTGCTAACGAACACAAACTGGAATAGCCTAGGCCTATCTATTTCCACAGCTTCAGGCACAATCTTACAAAGCAGGTTTGGCCGTTCCTTATCATTATTACAATCTGAAGGGCAGTTCTTGGCCAACCGACTGCCCTACTCCGTCCAGTCGCATATTTCGGGGAGGAGTTAAACGGTTCTTTTAAAAGCTGCATCTGGTACTGAACCACGCAGGACTAGTGCAGCAAATCTAGAGCCAGCAAAATGGTCGAATGGACAGACTTCGAGCGCGCCACCATCCAGGACATCTTCTCTAAGATGGACTATGAGGTGGTGGGCCCTGCAGCTCTTTGCAGGTGAGACAGCTTTTCTGTTTGTTTGTCTTTAACGGGAATGCACAAAAGTAGATGTTACATTATATTAAAAAAGAAATGCGATTCATGCATGCATGTTTTCAGGTGTCTGATCGTCTACCCCTGGACTCAGAGGTATTTCGGAAAGTTTGGAAACCTCTACAACGCCGAGGCTATAACTGCAAATCCACAGGTCGCAGCTCATGGAAAAACCATCCTCCACGGTCTGGACCGGGCTGTGAAGAACATGGACAACATCAAGGCAACCTATGCCGAGCTGAGTGTGCTGCACTCAGAGAAACTGCACGTGGACCCTGACAATTTCAGGGTAATGCAACAAGGATTAAATTAGACTGGACTTGTTATCCATAATCAACCATTATGCAAAAACGCACCACCCGCATGTTGTTGATTTGTTGTTTGTTTTTTTGCAGCTGCTGTCTGACTGCCTGACCGTAGTGGTTGCAAGTGTGATGGGGAAAGAGTTCACTAGTGAAGTGCAGGCAGCTTTTCAGAAGTTCCTGGCTGTGGTGGTGTCCTCCCTTGGAAAGCAGTACCACTAGAGAGCTGCAACAGAAGACCATCACATGCGGATCATTTGTTGAAAAGCGTTGTTTTTTTATCATGTTTCAAAAACATAAATAAATAAAACAATAAGCATATTTAAGAAGTTGTATGTCTTTTTCCATGTCTGTCGTTATATCAGGACGATGTGAAATTGATACATTTGCAAAAACAGAGGAATGCATTCTTAAAATTAATTAACCAACAAAAATTATCTGGAGAGCACAAAAACATTATTCATAAAATGATATTTTAGATAAATAACTCTTCAATTTGATTCATATTCCCTGCATTGCACAAGGGCACGAAAACGTGATTTGGGAAAACAATTAACATCTGGTATATTTATGTATATGTTCGGTGCTGAAAAAAGTATTTAAATATATATATATATATATATATAGGAGTGAGAGTTTGTCATGGTCTATTTTTGTGTTTATATAAAAGTAAAAAAACAGTTGTACTTATGTGAGTAATTATGTGTGTGATTGCAACTTCGACTAAATTATCTAAATACCACTGACGTTTCATAGAACATGACATGTTAACACTGTAAATAAAATGTTTTTATTAATTCTTGTAATTTAAAATAGGGGAGACCGAGGATGGTTGTAACACTTTTGACAAGCTAGTTACATAAATAGTGTAACTATTACTTTTGCAACACAGACAAAAAATGCATGGCTTAGTCTCAAACGCAAGGAGTAAAACTTTACAATTCACCCTATAGTCTGGGTTAGTTGTAACATGCCGTGGGGTGAAATTTAACATTATACACACACTGGCAGGGGTGTACTAGTCTGGGACTGATATTCAGCCCGGAACTTTGAGACGGAGAGGTCTTTTATGCGAGTGCCCTTTGGAGGGCGGGCAGAAATATTTTTTTGCAGTTATTATATTAATACATAGGCTATTAGTGTTTCTGTTGTATAGTGACTCAGATTATGCTGAAGACCTTCAAGAAACTTCAGGATGACACCTGCCTCCTCAGTTTGTATAAGCAAGGCAGCTCTACACTGAACAAGACAAGGTCAGGCAAGCCTGAGTCAGTCAGATGGCTAAAATACTTAAATATACTCAAAAACTACATGCATTCATTCCTGCTGGACCCCACTCTGCTTTTACTGAATGTACACCTAAATATGCAGGAGAAGAAATTAAAAAAAAAATCCATTTTCTAATTCTGAAACACACTGCCCCTGTTACTGTCACTGTTTTATCTGGTTCCATTTACTTTCTCCTCCTGCTGCTTCTCTTCCCTATCCTTCTCCTCCTCCTACTGCTGCTCCTTCTGTTCCTTCTTTCCTTCCTCATCAGCATGACAGTGGTCATCATCACCCTGTCCCTTTCCATCACCTCTACTGACCTTAACAGCTGATATACATACAAACATACAGACATCCCTTGCTTATAGAAGTTGTCTTTGTGTGATAACACATTGTAAACGGTTGTTTATAATATAGGCTATATAAATATATTGTCTAATGTATATACCTCATAAATGCATATATAAATAATTTCATATAATAAATGCATTAACCTCCTAATTGTGCACCTGTCTCTGCCTGTGCAGGGTCCTGCCTCACCTGCTACAGCAGCCTTTCTGCCAAGAAGTGGGTTAATTTGGCACATTGGCATCTTGTTCCAACATTTATTTCTTCTTAATTCTTATTTTTTCGGCATCACACATTTCTTTTTCCTCTTTCTCTCTTTCAACACATTTACCTCTGTGTTGCTCTTATCACACAACCAGCTTTCACCGCCTACAAAACCTTTGGAGATTGAACTGCCCCAGAGGATCGGCGCCATTGAGACAATTTTTTTTTTCAAGATTTCAGCAAAAACAAGGATCAGTCCTTGGGAGGGGCCACTTGTATCCCTCCAAATCTAAAATATTGGTTTGGCCCTGTATGATAGACAGCATTTGTCATCTCAGAACGTCGAATACCGACGCTTTCAGAAAAAGTGACTAAGCGTTACCTTCTAAAATTGTGCTTGCCATAGGGTGCTACTTTTCCCCATGTGGAATAAGGACTAAACTGAGCGTTTGCTGAGTGAATCAGGTGATTCATAACCTGTTCCTCAATGGAGAAAGTGGACGTGTTACAACCATCCCTGGTCTCCCCTACAGTTTAAACTCTTCCTCTTAAAATAAATACCAGTGTTAAATACAGCTTCTTTAGATGTTGCACGACAAATCTACTGCCCTTTGAGTTATTCTTCGGCATGTAGCCTATAAGTAGCCTGATATTGTTGAACATCACTGACATCTGTTAATCCAATTTAAATTCCATTAGGCCTAAATGTCTACAATGCCAGCTGTGACCCGACTTGAACCCCGTTAATCTATACCTGCACGATAGAAATTCACTCCACCACACAAACAATTTAATTTCATATTTTATTCGTATTCAGAGTGACAGACAGTATACAAGCATATATGCTGCTGTGCATCATCTGCTCCTGCTCCTGTTTGCAGTTTATCTGTATTTCTCAGACAGGGCACGAGCCAAGGCAGCCAGGAACTTGTCCATTGCCACGTGAACCTCAGGGGTGAATTCGGCGGGGAACATGATGGCACAGACCACCAGGAGGTTATGGGACAGAATCTGAGAAAAGAGGATAATGACACTTAATCCAATCGCCAATCTTAAACGTATCTTTACGAAAGACTTTCAACTTGGACATGCAGTGTTTAAACATGACAACAGAAATGACCATCGGCGACATCTACCTTGAAGTTAGCAGGGTCCACTCGCAGAGTGAAGGCATGCAGCTCACTGAGGTTCAGGAGACCTGCAGTCAGGTCGTCGATTTTGCTCACAGCATCTGCAACTCCACCCATAACAATTCCTCCGTGCTTCCTCACTGGGGCAGAGCCGGGACTCAGGTCCTTCCAGTGGGAGAAGTAAGTTTTGGTCTGCGGGTACACCGCCAGCATCCTAGGTAATAAATGTGAATACGTCAAGAAGTGAATAAATAAAACATTGACCTTTTAAGAACAGGTTACATCAGTAAGTTTGGGGTTATATTTACCTTGAAATAGCATCAGCGCCGATTGCCTCAGCACTGCCAGATGCTTTAGCCCAGAAGGCTTTGACTGTTGCCTTGTCCTTAGCAGTGAGACTCATCTTTCTTGCGTAGTTGAGGTTGAATGCCGTGAGCAGCGTGGGGGGTTCTTATAGGCTACATAAAGCAGGGCATGGGCACACCCTGGCCACCTCCAAGATAGGGCTGCTTGGCATTTGGACGGTGTCCAAATGATATGTTGCAGCTTGCATGAGATAAACACACAAAAACTGTCTTTAAAGACCTACACAAAGAATTAATCACAAGTAATTTTCAAATTGTCTGAAACTCAAAAACTATTTAATTTCAGTTCATATATATTTTTGAAATCATACAAACAAAAACATTTATAGTGACAGGCTGAAAATAACGAACTTAAACTGGACAGGGCAGGAAGACCATGGTTCAAAAGAATAATTTAATTGGCCACATGCAATTGGGGCTCCTGTATGAGAGCTTAATATCTGTTTCAGTGCCAAACTGAAAATAAGCTTTGTGAGCTTTTTCACAAAATCTAAAGAGTTAGCATGAAAAGGCATACTTCTATATATATCTTACAATTTGGACCAAATCCAAAATACGTCGCTTTTTACCCTTAGATTAAATCAATCAATAAATAAAACCTCTAATTTTAAAGCTGTTTATACAAAGAAATTACTTTTTTCCGAAATTAAAGCTTTTAGCAGTTTCATTGTTTACAGTAGCCTTCATCACTAAAAAAAATCTATGACACATTAAAAGTAAAATAACTTCTAAGTGCTGTAATAGGCCTATAGGCTTTACGCCTATTTATAATGTGCAAACTAAGATGGCAAACATGGCGTGCTAAAAGTGAAACCTATAGGCTACGTGCAAAACATCTACGACAGTCCAGCATTACTGCTTTGAAATATAGTCTTTGCAATTAATTAATATTAAAGGATTTGGTTATCAGTTGATTAACATGAAGACGAAGGTCATTTGGGGATACATTTGCTTCCAATAAATGGGCTTATCTAAAGGACAACTGGAGCCTTCAAAGGGCGGATCCGCTCAGAGGGGAAGAAGATATTTTTAAGAAAGTGCAGCAGCTTAGCTGATACAGACCGCAGCATGACCAACATTTTCTTGTGTGGTTGAAGCTGAAGTCACTTCACTCTACATTTTATTTAATTGCACTAGGTTTATCGATTACGCTAAACACCCTATCCTTTTAGTGCTCTCGTTGCAGATATGCAAAACGAGTTTAAATCTAACCAACAAGACCTTTCATAACACGCCTAGACTATTTCTTCTTTCATCCAAGGTGCTTATTGAAATTACTCAAACCCTCGGACACAGTAGGCTATAGGCTATTCAAACTGGTCCGTCTGTTACCTTGTGATTAGATTTCCTCGCTGCTCGCAATGGATCCCCTTCACTTGGAAACACCCCAAAATTGTTTTTCCTTTAGTTGAGCTTGGCAGCTATACTTCCCCTATCGATATACACAAGCACAAAAAACCTTATACGCATTTAACTGTATTTAGTGGGATTTTCTCATCAGTCAACATGTGCTTTGATAATGAAAATCTGAGTTCTTTTTATATCTACCACATGACGTTAATAGCCTACTCCTGGCAGTTACCCAGTCAACCCCAACGCAGGGATTTAGCTATTGGTACCATAGCCTACGTGAAAATTCAAAACATTGGGTTGGGACCTAATATAGGCTATATAACCGCAAAATACAGCTGATATGATACAAAGATAGTCTTATAGTTTTTAATATTTTATCTGATGCTGGTAAATGAAAAGAAATGACAAGAAAATGTATCTGGCGTTCAACAGTTATTGAGAGCCAACAAAATGCGGCGCAGGCCTATGGCTGCTCTGAGCCGGATGCACTGCGAGCGTGGATCCGGAAAAGTCCAGAGTGGGCAATAGGCCTACATTTTCCTAATATCCACAGGAAAATATTTTAGAAAGGGGCCTATATGCATTTATGTTAAACAGCGGACTATATTCCTAACTGGATTCACTGTGTCTTTTTGACTGCATCACAGTGTCTTTAATCCTCATGCCCAAGCTACCTGTCTGCTGTGGTTGAGGCTATGAGCAGTCAGTACTGAAGAGCTGAACAAATCCAGCTGTAGAAAAAAACCCCTCTTATATAGGCTACCCTGTGTGTTTGTCTCTGTGGCAAGTCTAATCATGCAAGGTATACATAATCACTCTTTAATATTTCTAAGCAATTGAGTAATTGCTTAACATGTATGTAATAACATCAATATGTGGTATAAATATTTGAGTGGTCCTTCAATATTGGGTTAGAGACCCCCTGTGGTCTTTAAAGAAACTACAAGTTTTTTTTCCCGATGTGGGAAAACAATATCAGTACAGTAAATTATATATACGGTACTAAAATGTGTTTATTATTAGGCCTAGGCTGTTTGTATAATTTATAAAGGAATCTCTAGATACTCAAGTGATCTGTATGCAGTAGGATATTTACATTGTTTATTAAACTATATTTTAGAACCCCTCATGAATAGTAAGTTGTATATAAATACGTTACTAGGATTTGTAGAGCCAAAGCATCCATTAGATTTAACAAACGTTTTTGTAAGTGAAGTTTACTCATAACAGTAGGCCTAGCCAATAGGACATGCTGAAAGTGCAGATGCAGTAAAAGGTAGGAGGCTAAAGATGCTTTAAAAAATTTTTTTTTCTTTATTGTCTTGGAAAAGGAATACACGGATCACAACTATAGCCTATTACGAAAACAACCACACAGTTTTCACCCACAGGCCGTCATGTCAAGTCAAAAACCCTGTGACTCATCTACTTCACCTTGTAATTCAGTTGATTATATAGCTCATATATCTGCCACCCTGTACGCAGGATAAGCGGTTGACGATGGATGGATGGAGATATATATATATATATATATATATATATATATATATATAGAGAGAGAGAGAGAGAGAGAGAGAGAGAGATATGCATATCATAACTTGTACACTGAATAGCATAGCCTACTTATGGCTATACAACTCATATGAGCTGGAGCGTCCCATCATTGTATTAGTTTGCTCCTTCTTTAAATATTGCAATATTGCAAGCAGAGTACGGACCTCCATTATATGACTAGAATGATCAACAGCTCCCAGGTAATGTGAGGCACAACATTGCTCGAAAAAAAACAAAAAACATGACATGACCAGCTCGGGTCCTGATCCTGCAGCTGTCAGAGGTGCTCCCCTCCCTTTCATTGCCTGCGCTAATATTACCCACCAGATGGCAGTTGCGGCCTATGAATGATCATCATAATCTTTTTGTTGGCCCCGCTTGTGTACATATACGTGGAATGTGACTCCAGTCTTACTATTGTTTTGGATGTGTAATGCCGCGTTCGAGACCGGTCGGAACTGGGATATTTCCCATTTGAAACTTCTGACCTCAAAGCGTTCCAAGTGCATGGTGGTGCACACAAAGTGTAGGCCTACACACAGTTACACCCTCAGCAGTGTTTTAGGTGTTAATTAATAAGCAGTTTAACTGCAACAACTGACACAAATAGCCTAAAGCCTACTTTACTAGTTCTGTGTACCGCTACATCAGTTGGTAACCCTCAAGTCAGTCAATGTTGTAGGTTATACTTCCTAATGTTTTGGCATTTTTAACAATAACTTTTATGCAGAGAACATGACTTTATGAGATTATTTACTGTAGCCAGCTACCTAATAGGCCTAACACATTTCTACATCAATGTACATGCAGAACAGGTTTTACCGTATGTAGGCCTATTATTTTTTTATTATTAAGTTTATGGTTTACCATTTACAATGTGTGCATCCATGGGCGCTGACCTTGTTTTGTGACGTAATTCAGCTGCTACTCGTGATACATATTTTTTCTCCGAGTTCACAAGTAGGAAATCCGACTTCAGGTGGCGTTCCAGGGTAGTTTTTCTAGTTGGAGGTCGGAAATTTCCCAGTTCCGAGTTGCCTGGAACGCAGCATAAATACATGTTACGACACCTGCTCTCAGGCTGCTACAAAGAAGGAGGATGCAACTCAAGTTTAACGATAATTAACAAAGTTATTACAGCGCCACAAAACAAAGTAATAGCGTGGCAGAGCGGTGCGGAAGGCGCAAGCACCGACACTGGCGTCTGGGTGGGCAGGCCTAAATAGGTTGGGCTCTCTGGCCAGGTGCTCCCAATCTAAAGTTTAAAGTCTAAAGTTTATTTATAAAGCGCTTTTCTCAGATAAAATCACAAAGTGCTGTACAAAAGAGTAAGTAAAAACAAACAGTATAAAATGTATATAAATATATAAAATTAAAATGACACTAGTGAAAACCCATCAACCAAAAGCCTTCTTAAATAGACATGTTTTCAGATCCTTTTTAAAAGAGACAACAGTGTCTGCCAGACGCATGGACAGGGGCAGAGCGTTCCACAGTCTGGGAGCCACAGACTGAAATGACATGTCCCCTCGTCTTAAAACGAGTCTTAGGGACTGCAAGTAGGTTCTGGCCAGAGGACCGACATGTGCGGTCAGGGGAATACGACTTCAAAAGGTCCAGGATGTAATGTGGGGCCTGACCGTTTAATGCTCTGAAAGTCAGCACTAAAATCTTAAAATCAATCCTGAATTTTACAGGGAGCCAATAAGACTGGTGTAATATGAGACCTTCGAGGGGCACCTGTTAAAAGTCTAGCAGCAGAATTTTGAACAATTTGCTATTTGTTCAAAGCTGACTTATTCAGACAGGTAAAAACAGCTTTGCAGTAGTCTTTTGATATGAAAGTGTGAATTATCATTTCCAGATCCTTCTTTGACAACATTTAGCGAATTTTTGAGATGTTCCTAAGGTGACAAAAGCAATTTCGAACGAGCTGTTTTGAGTGTGTCTCCAGGGACTTGGCCTGGTCAAACACAACCCCCAGGTTTCTGAGGCTGGATTTGACAGAAGGGCCCAGAGAGCCAAGGTGCTGTTTGATCAACGAGATCTTTTGGTTATAAAATCAGCGTTTCAGTCTTGTTTGAATTTATCTGCAAATAGTTTGTGGCTAGCCAGTCTTTGATGGAGGACACACACTCTAGAAACAGAGGCAAACGATGAAACTCAGCATCATTACAAGAACAATACAACTGAACAT